AACTCCTGGCACAAACTTGAATTTATTATAGATTTTCAAAAGTACACATACAGGCTCAATTATGCATACATCCCCACAAATATTTGGTCAAACGTCATTTAGTAAGTTGCATCTCACCTAGATGCTTTTTGGTAGCCATCAATAAATATCTGGCATAATTCTGGTTGAAGACTTGATCACTCCTCTTGACAGAGTACATTTAAATCGGTTGGTTTCCTGGCACAGACTCAGCTTTTAGGCATAGTCCATACGTTTTCAATAGAGTTGAGTTTGAGACTTTGGGAAGGCCATTCCAGAAGTTTAATGTTAGCCTGCTTTATCCATTTTCAAAACCAAGCTTGACGTGTGCTTGGGGTCACTGTCCTCCTTCTTCATTATTCAATTCACTTTGTGCAACATACGGTACAGCCGATACCAAAACGGCCCAGGAGCATGACACTACTACCACCATGCTTGACAGCTGGTACAGTATTTTTACGTTTGAAAGCCTCACCTTTACGCCTCCAAACATTTCTTTTGTCATTGTGGCCAGACAGTTAAATCTTTGTCTCATCTGGACAACATACCATGACTTTCATGCCTATGATGGGTGGATGCAAGCTTCTGACCACATCCGTAACGCAGAGGATTAAAAAGTGGATCTATGTGTTCTTTATTGTGCACGAAAGTATCTGAACTATCCCTTCTTTTATATATAAACATACAAAAAATGTGGTTTAAATAATATAGGATATGACCCGTTACTCTTTTCCACTGTAGTTTGCCCATGTTTGACAAAGGCTGTAGAGGCTTTGCTCCCATTAAACATTTACTACTGTTTTCTCAATACCAAGGTAATAAGCAACTGGTTATTGAAAATTATAAAGCATTAATAAGGTAAATAAAAAGTAAAAGTAGGTAATATATTAGTAATAATATCAAAAATATTTTGCTAAACTATAGATTTCTATTTATAATTTGCAAGACAATTATAATAACATGTGTCAGGGTCCTGGGTCTGAGCGACCCAGGATCCCTAAACAGTTATGAATTATATTATTATTATTGTATGTATATTTGGTGTTGCTGTCCTTCTCCCTGTTTGCGTGTGTGTGTGTATATGTATATGTGTTTCGGCGGGCGCCTTCTGGCCTGGTGGGTGTGGCCCTGCTGACGGTCTGGCCACACCCGAAGCCACACACCTGCTGCTGATCAGGCCTTGTCGGGGGAGCTACTTAGGAGAGTCTTGGAGCTCCCAACGACGCGGGATCATTCCATGAGACTCCACGAGAGGTGTGGAGTGCCAGACAGCAGCCAGCATGGGGAGTGCTGAGACAGGGGAGCGGAGAGCACAAACACTGGGAGAAGACACGACACGGGAGTCTGGGGAAAGCACGGGGATTTATTGTTGTTTAGTTTCATACACTGTAAACAAACGCACTGTTTACACACAGAGCACCGCGCCTGGGTCCTCCTTCCCTACACCCCCACGGTCTGCTAGCCAGACGGTGACAACATGACATGTGAGGCAACAACAGATCGGTTAACAGTATAAAAATATTAGATGTCACACCTTCAAAAACACATATTCAATTTCTCTTCCTTTATTAATACAGCCACTTCTTTGTGGAGTTTATGTGTGGCAACCTTGAACTGGCATTGTTGGTTTGCACTGCATTAAACTTAAATGAAAACCGGCGGGTCTCATGATGATGCTGTTACCTCATCCAGTTATTAATGTATTTCTGGAAGCTCTTTAGTTGGAAAAAATCATGTGTCAGCATCAAATTAGGCTTTTTTTTTTCTTTTTTTAAAATTCTCAGTCATGAGTATATAAGCAGAACAAAGACATGTGACACAAATTTTCGAGGGAACCCTTGGAGCCCAGTGATGTGGTCACCCACTCTTGTCCTTTATTACAATGACTCATTTTTTAATGAGGAATTAGTATTTGAAACATCACCATGTGCTTTTAAATGTATGAAGCCCACATGATAAATTACAACACATGTTAATTTTAGATGGTACCAGCACGCACAAAAAGACCTGCTTTCAAGTAACTCCAGGTTATTCAGTAACGGAAAGTCGGCTTAAAGATTTCACACTACAGAAACAAAATGAGTGTATGTGTAACAGTTCTCATCAAACAAACTTACGAGCCTTTTTGTTAATGCAACCACTCGTTAAGACAAATATCTACCCAGCCAATCACATTACACCAACTCAGTTAGGCATGTAGACGTGGTCAAGACAACTTGCTGACGTTCAAACCGAGCATTAGAAACGGAAAGAACGTTGATTTAAGCGACTCTGAACATGGCATGGTTGTTGGTCCCAGATAGGCTGGTCTGAGTGTTCCAGAAACTACTGATCTGCTGGGATTTTCCTGCAAAACCAATCAGATAGGAAGGCAACAAATAACAATTTATTACAACCTGAGGTATGCAGAAGGACATCTCTGAACGCATAACATGTTCAACCTTGAAACAGATGGTCTACAGCAATAGAAGTCCACACCCAGTGCCTGTAAAAACAGGACACTGAGGATATAAATTGCTTAGAGCCGCCAAAATTGAACAATAGAAGATTGGAAAAATGTTCCCTTGTTTGATGATTCATTTCTTCTGCAACATTCAGACAGTAGGGTGATACTTGGCACAGACAATATGAAAGCATGCAACCATTCTGCCTTAGATCAACATTTCTGGTCGTTGTTGGTGTAACAGAGGTATCTTTTTGGCATACTATGTTTTGGCAAATGACGAGTTCACTGCACTCAAATTGGCTTAACTTATCAGCAGATTTCAATCCCGTAGAGCAGCTCTGGGATGTGGTGAAACGGGAGATTCATCACATAGATTTGTAGCTGAAAAATCTGCAGCCATCAGGCCGGTATGGACCAAAATCTTTGGGGAATGTTTCCAGCGTAAGGGGTCCAACTCAGTGCTGACGAGATATACGTAATAAAGTGTCTCATGAGTGCATGTACAAAAAGCAGATGACATGTTTGTATAGAATATGATAAATGTTTAAATGTGTAGTAGAGGTTCTAGCTTTCCTCACACCAAGAGCCTTTCATAATTTGTGAGTTTACTAATGTGAGTTGTAATCAAAATGTTCAAGATATCCTCCTTTCAAATTCAGCAACATCAAGATTTTCAGTGTTTCTAAAGTTAGTCTGAGGAAAAACTGCTGTATTACATTTATGTGATTGTACATTTTAGAAGAATCAGTGATATTCTGAAGATTTTAATATTTAAACACAAATAAAACAAAAGAAAATCAAATAAAAAACGGCAATAATTGGTGCTACTTAACTAAAAACATATACAGTGCGTCTTGGATACATTTCAGTTTATGGTAGCCGATAGCCAAACCTATAAACATCAACAGCCAAAATATTAGGAACATCTCTTGGTGTACTAACTGCTCAGCAGCGGCATAAAGCTGAACACTGCAAACACATTACTAACCAGTGTGATTTATTGCAAATTGTTTAAACAATTTACAGAACTAAAGATTCTTTAGAAAGTACACCGACTCAGTTAAAAAGAAAAATTACGTTGCTCCCTCTGATGTCATCTGGCAGTTTTTGTGCATTTCACCACCTGACTTCCTTTTTCATGCTCTGCATTCAAGCAGGCAGCATCGGCTTATTGCCATATATTAATCTAAGAGAGCTTCTGCAACAAACCTGATACTGTATTTTGCCCCAAAAAATCCCATTTGTTACACAGGTTTGAAAAGAACTCTTATTGTGTTTAATCTTCAATATTGATTGGGGACAGGTCCGGCAGCACAGCAGATTTTCTCTGTGGCTTTTTTGCTGCAGAGTCCTCGTCTAAATCTTTATCTTCCTCCTCTTCACAGTCATCAAAGTCATCTTCATCATCATCATAATCATCATCACTGTCCAAACCATCCATGTCTGTCTTCCTTCGTCGACATCCTTTCTTTCTCTGTTCATCAACTTCTTGCTCGTTTTGCTCCAGATGTGAGTTCACCCTACACGGTGAAGAAAAAAGATATAAGAACTGTTATTTAACTTTGCACCAACAATCCAAATCTTTCAGTATTGCGTTGTCACAAAGCCAGTAACTCAAAAAGCTACAGGAAATTACCTTTCCTTAATTAACACTTAGTGGAAGCATTTAGATGCCAAAAGCAATGCTTAAAAATATGAGAAGCCCATGAAATGATGTTCAGGGTCAAGTATTGGCTACAATGTCTCTTATTCTCCACAAGGTGGCAGACTTACAGTAGTTACAGTATTATGTGTATGTGTTTGTCAGTGATAAAAGATGAAAATACATTTGCTTAAATCACTTCGGTGTTATCCCGTCTCTTTAGGGATCTAACACATGTAGAAACTCCTGTAATTCATGTTCGTTTTAAAAACTTGTTGCCAGTGTGAAAGGAAAAAAAATTAACTGGTGTCATCAAATTTGATTTTCTCAGAACATTGAAAATTGAAAGCTCTTCTTTGGATGTCAGCTGTGGGACAAGATGATCCCACACAGCTTGATTGATGATTTGAACCAAAAACTGGTTTCATCACTCCATCAGACCCGTTGCCACTGATTTTCAGTCCAGTTTTTGTGTAATGTGGCGTACCTCAGCCTTTCCTTATTCCTTAAGAATGGCTTTTTGACAACCACCCTTCCACTGAGAGCATTTGTAATGACGCCTCAGTGAACACAACAGATGCATCTCACAGGTCCTGTGTCAGATCTTTGCTGAATTTTTTTCCCCATTTCTTAAGAACATCATTTTTAGATACTGTTCATCTGCTGTAGATATTTTTTTGTTTTTAGGCCTGGCACTTCTTCTTTTGTTTAATTTCGTCAAATTTCTTAAAGACATACTGCACACCATATGCAAGATTTCTTGGGTTTTTTTCTTTTGGCTGTCAGTTTTCTCTTTGGCACTTTCAAAGCTTCAGCTAAGGAAATGGGAACAAAACGCCTAAACATACAATTTGTTGTTTGTTGAATATCTGTTAAATGGAGATGTGACACTGGTTTATTCCTTTGGGTTAGCAGTGTTTTTTTGTTTTTTGTTTTTTGTTTGGGGGGGGGGGGGTGGTTAAGCTTGAATGATTCATAGGTCAGTATTAAGTGGCTTAACAAAGAAAAAATCCTAAAAAAAATGCTCAGGTACAAGGACTGGACTGGAAATGAGTGGACAAAGCAGCCAATGTTCAAAGAAAAACTATGAAAGACTTTCTGAAAGCCTGAGGAACTATTGCTCAAGACCTTTTTTAAACAGCTTTTGAGCGGAGGACAAAGCTCTGGCACCTTGGAAGCAAAATGTGAAGAAATGATGGGTGAGTTCGTACTTTGTACATTAATGTATATAAGGACAAAACACACGCAAACTTATCCTCTTACGGAATAACAATCTCCTCCTTCTTCCCACACTTGCAGCAGATCTCTTGCTGAAGAGAGCAGGGCTTACAAATGATGTGATACGCATCTTTTATTGTCTTTTGGGAGCACTTGACACTGCAAAAAAACCCCAAAAAACAATCAGTTATTAAGACCAATGTATTTAACTTGCCACTTAAAACAATATATCCATGTGTTGGGAAAATTCTTCTAAGCAGTGGAGATAAAATATTTAGTGGCTAATTTTCAAAGTCTGCCACTATGAAAAAATAAGATGGCTAAAATCATGCACGATATGAAATAAGCAAAGAATGTTTGTGGTGTAGTTTCATTTTTTGCACAGGTAAAAAAAAGAAGCTGATAAACTGAAATAAACTCTTCAATTCACCGACTGCTTTGTTGTTACTTGATGTGCATTTTCATGAGCAGCTGTAAGAATTTGCCCCTAGCCCTGCGTACTGAAATCAAAGTCTGCAACACTTATGTATACTTACCATTTTCTAGGCTGTGTTAGTGGCTTTTTTTTATTGTACTTAACTTTCCACTCAAGAACACCTTTACAGCGTTGACAAAGCCCATCATGGATCTTTGAATTTGCCTTCTACAATTGAGATTAGAGAAGCAAAGACAATAGAGATGTTCAAATATTATGTGTGTTTAACAAAGCAAGAGCTATAAATAAGTTTTCACAGGTAATGATTTATCACTGGCAGAAATGACAGGAAGAAAAAAGTACAAACTCCCTACAGTCTCAGCCTTTCTCAAATAAATGAATATTGTGAATAAGTTTAACTTTCCTTAATTAACACTTATTGGAAGCATTAATTAAGCAATAAGACCACTCTGTCTCAAATCACCATTCTGTTTGAAGATTTACCTACAAATTTTGTTGTGCATAGTTAGTTTATATAATCGTTTCTGTACAAGTATAGCTACACACACATACACAACTTTATTATTTTATCTTTTTTGCACTATGGTAAAATGACGTGACACACGAGTATCTCAAAAACTATTAAAGATAAAAGTCAGAAACTTTCACTAGCCTTTCTTACTTTCTTACCATGTATCAGAATGTATTGACTAGTTATAACATAGAAAAACTAAGAATAATAAAATAAAATAATAAATTCAAGACTCATTCAAGAACGCTAATAAAAACTTCACATTGAAGTCTTCAGACTATTCAGGTAATTTCTGAACATTTATTAGATATAATTGTGTTTCACAATAATGCAAAATTAAACACACAGAATACTTTTCAAAATTAAATTCATGGTAGGACACCTCAAGTTTTCAAATATCTTGAAAAGTATTTGATACACGAAGAAAAAAAATTCACAGCCCACACACGTCCAAACTTTGGACCATAAAACCTTTAGAAAAATCTGAAATGGGCTAGCCGAAAATATTCTGAAGATTGATAAAATGGCCCAAATGCAAAATGCAATACAAGGCTAAATAACTTAGCTCAGCAAAGTTGACACACCTTCACTTGTGTAGTCGCCCCGTACTTGTCGTTTTTAAACGCAGTTGTGTTTTGATGCTTCTGGCCCCGCGATCGAGATGTATTACCTCTCTGAGAACTCATGTTATTAAACCTTTTTAGCCACACACGTTACACAGATACACAAACTAAGCACCATGCCGCCGAGCAAGAGCACTAACCCGGAAGAAGTAAGAACGCGTCATGAAACGTCATTGAGAACTACGTAAAAAAGGAAAGAAAAATGTGTTATTTTAATAAACAGTATATTTCATGTATGTATTTATTTTTTTAAAGTCAGAATTTCTTTTTACATTTACAAACACACTTAATAAATTATAGCTTGTCAATGACATCACCGACTAGAACTAGAAACACCTTTGTGGACGCTGATTGGACGATGCCTTCCAATAGTAATTTCTGATTGGTTGTCAATCCTAAAAAACTTAAATCCTCAGACTGCGGCGTCTAGAAGGACCGCCCATAAACATCAAAGTCATTGGGGGAGTCGTTTTGTCGACCTCTTTTCCCATTGGTCCACAGAGCTGTCAATGAACGCCTCTTTTTCCTCAAGCCAAGATAACAAGCAGGGCCGGGCGATATTCACAAAGAAAGCAGTGATGTTTCGGTGGCAGGTGATACAGCTGTGAATTGTTTGGTAAGCTGCACGGACACGTCTGCTAGATTTGAGTGAATTTTAAACTGTTATCTTTCCTATCAGCTTTACTGCTGTGCTTTAGAAACTTGAACGTTTCGAATGAGTCGATGTCGTTATCGTCCAGGACCGTATGTTGAGAAAACCGAAAGGAGGGAAAATAAAGGAAACGACAGTTCAGAAGACTGTGTGGTCCGGAGAACGAAGCTGCCAGCTAATACTAATTAAAGAAGGATAATACACACTCAAACTGACATCGCTAACCGAGGATAATCTGGCCAAGGATAACCTCGACAAGCTCTAGGTGTCGAGAAGATAAGTTAGTTGGCTTGGTGCGATGATATCTCAAGACTGCGGTGACGTCTACCCAGTACTATCACCTTTAAACACAGAAAGAAAACCAAAACAAACCCCCAGCCGCCGTCCAGGTAAGCTTTCTTTGGAATATATGTACACTTGGTACACCATACTTTGCAGCTAATTGTAGCTGCTAGAAACGAAACCCTCGCAAATAGCCTGGTGTAACTGTAATCTCTGTGAACACATTGCTACATCCACCACCATTTTACAGTAAATCGCCGCGGGGCTCCGTTTAGCCTCTGCTTGGAATGGACTTTGTGGTAAGAATGTAGGAAGCAAATAGGCTCCATTGTCGTCCCCATCCTCAGTCATTCCTGACACAGCCGTTTATTTACCCACGTATCATACAGACAGTTCAGCTGAGTTAAAAATCAGCAGCGTGTGAGTAAGATTAATCAAGTAATTTCCAGCAGCTGTTTAGCGTCGTTTCTTTAGACTGATCTAAGCAAATCAGTTGCAAGATTTATGAATATATCAGACAGAAATGTCCATCTATGAAGCTGCTAAGTGCTGTGGTTGGTCAGAGGAGCTATCGCCAAAGGAAAGAGGAAAGGTAATCCATATAACACATTGTCATAATCTGATATTAGTGAGCATTTTTCCCCCTGCTTGGTTAAAGAGTCACATTACAAAGCAGCATGACTGGCTAAGATAACTTGGAGATTTGCCTCCAGCTGCCATATGTTTTACCAAAAAGGAGCTGTGCTGACATCACTGCTGCAGTTTCATAGTAGCCAGAATATCTTAAGAGGTAACCTAAGGTAGGGGTCCAGGTGCAGGGAGAGACAAAAAAGCCTTTCAAGTTAATTCTCTGAGTGACTGTGAAGCCTCAGGGTAGACATGGAGAGAAAAATCACTCGGCTAGGGTCATCTCCCTTTAAAATCCTGTCTCGAGAGAGCTCTGCATTTTAGAGAGAGAGAGAGATTGTTTAGTGTAATAATAAAAAATAAAATTTTAAAAATGACAGCAGCCTGGCTCAAGCCCCTCGTCCAAGAAATCCCCTGCTTTGCTTAACAGATATAGTTGTATATGTAGAAAAACCTAATTTCGAAACTCTGGCAGAGATCTGCTTTTGTAGCATCTTTCTTGTGGGATGCATTGGCATATCGGTGTGTTTTCTTCCTCACTATGGGATATTTCTATTTTAATCCTTTTGGTTCTCTCTGTTGCAGCACTTTGAGGATGAACCACTTATCGCTCAGTGAGCTATGTTGCCTGTTCTGCTGTCCACCGTGCCCCAGCAAGATCGCCTCAAAGCTGGCCTTTCTACCCCCTGAGCCGACCTACAGCCTCATGTGTGATGACAGTGGCAGCCGATGGACGCTGCACCTCTCCGAGCGTGCTGACTGGCAGTACTCGGCCCGTGAGAAGGAGGCCATCGAGTGTTTCATGACACGCACCTCAAGAGGGAGCCGCATTGCCTGCATGTTTGTCCGCTGCTCACCCAGCGCCCGGTATACTCTGTTGTTCTCCCACGGTAATGCAGTGGACTTGGGCCAGATGAGCAGCTTCTACATTGGCCTCGGTTCACGGATCAACTGCAACGTTTTTTCCTACGACTACTCTGGTTATGGGGCCAGCTCTGGGAAGCCTTCGGAGAAGAACCTGTACGCTGATGTAGATGCTGCCTGGCAGGCGCTCCGATCACGGTAATGAAGCGTTATAATGGATGGATAAGTAATATAAAATGACGTGATATTAAAACAACTGAGCAGTATGCAGAATCCTGTAAGAGACTTATTTGTGAATGCACAAGACTCCTGCAGTCACTCAAAACCTGTTTATTAGGATGTGATAGGATGTGATGGCATGGAGAAATGAACCTAAATGGCCGTTTAGATGACTCATGACAAACAAGGAGTTAAACCCGATGAACTTTAGGGAAAAAAAGTAAAGTTCCCACAGTACTTGAAATGATTGTTTTGTTTTGTTTTTTGTTTTGTTTTTTAATTAGAGTATCTGAAGGGGAAAGTGAAGTGACATAACACAAAAAACTGTAAGGAACATGGTTATAAAAATAAAATCCCCTACAGTGTGTGTGTGGTGGTAGTATTTAAAGCCTTATTAGTCATATTAATAGCAGGTCCCTGTTTTATGTCTTGGTTGGCAGCTTTGTACTGCTAACAGGAATATTATGAATAACAACAGTGTCAACCTGTGTTTCTGGCATGCTGTAGAAATATGGGGGTATTTTAGAAAGTGTTAAATGATGAGGATTAGTGAAGGAAATGATGATTTGGATGGAAAAGGGCAAAAATGAGAAATTGGGGGCGGAGGGATGACTACTTAACAGAACTTCACAAAATCATGAGGGAAGATGATGAGGAATGGCTTAGTGGGGATGACATGATGTTCTTGTAGGCGAAGAAACGTGGGTTCTGTGATTACGCTGCGCCCCCTCCTCCAATAATATGTAGGTGTGAGCGGTTGCTCTGCTACATGTTTGTACAGGTGACTAATTATTGGCTGATTGGAAACTGGTATTTATTTTTTCCCAGTTGATGATAACCTACTTGTTCAGGACTTTCTGTTATCTTATTGTGGTTTCAAAGTGCACACGACCCAGCAGGAATTCAGTTTGCAGTTGAAGTCTTGTTCTATTACACTTCGATAGTTATTTTTAAAGAATCAAACTTCTTAGTAATTGGTTTATGAAAGACTCTGTATAAAGAACTCGTTCTCTGCATCACTTGTATCTGGTCCTCATGCTCATGAATAGTTTGTTACTGCAGGTGTGAACTCTTGTTCAGCTTCAGTTCCTTCTCCCAGATAAGGTCGTCTTGCATGTAAGCAGTGCTTATCAGTTTGTCTAACGCTGTGGCCTTCACTTCCTTCCTTTTGTGTTTAAGGACGTCTGCTTATTGTCTCCGACCATCTCGTCATCTCCTTCTTTTGTCCTTTGTGTCACCACATTGTGCTTAAAGTCTGTAGGTTTGCCATTAGAGTGCCTGTACTGAAAACCCACAAACAAAACATAAGTAGAACTGAAACGTAAACAGAATTCATCAGTCGCTTTTCAGATTATTGAATCAAAGCCCAAAATACTTGTTAGTTCCCGCTCCTAAGATATTTTGGGGGAAGTGGATGAAGGTAGATCTTTGATCTGGGGAATCTGTGGTAGACCTATTTCACTGTGTTCCTGATATTTTACACAACAGCTAGCTGGAACGTATTGGGGTGGGGGGGTGGGGAATGAATTAAAAATGAAAATAATTTTTAGTTGAAGCTCTACCTATACATGCAGGGTAGAAGCAAGAAAGCAAACATCAACCTGCTGCGATGAAACAGGATGTGGAGGGTGTGTGTGTGTGAGTACTATGTCCATTATATCTGTGAGTTCTTGTTTTGGGAGAAGGGAAAGATAAAATTTCATCCAGTAAGACTGCTTGTCTGTATGTTTCCTGCTGGAAGACAAATTACTAAGAGAGCAGATGGGGAGACTTCAGAAGTGCTAAAAATGCTGGAAGAGAGGAGACAAAATGATCGAGATCAGCCTTTGGGGGGGAAAAAAAAAAAAAGCTGTTCTTTAAGTGTGGAGTGTTCCTCCTGTGTTATTGCTAGTGTGGGAGTATGTTCTTTCTGTACTAAATGAAGGTTTTGGCACTGCAGAGCTTTAAAGTGCTGATAACACTGCTAAGAGCCACTGACAACAAATCTTACAGTTTATTAGCTGCTGACTTTTGATGTGAACCTCCCCAAGCACTTTCACAGAATCTAATGAATGGGCTTCTGTAAATAAGGACCTCTTATATAAGGAAGCTACAGAGTTTAACTAGAAAATTGACGGTAAGGCTTTTGCATTTAAGAAGCAAGCCACTGCTGTAAAAATGAAAAAGAACCTGCTTTTCTGGTGGTTAAAAGTCACATGTCTGTAGGTATAGGCTTGATTGTTTTCTTTTCTCATCCCCCGTTTGAAACCACACTCCTGGAATGACCTGATTGCTTGTCCCTGCTTTTTTTTTTTTTCTTTTCTTCTTTTAAACATCACTAACGACTTCTCCAAATCAAAATAACCAATATAGTTTACACTGGTAAAACTGCTTGGACTGTAGCTATAATATGCAAAGGCAACATGTTGTCATTAGCTGATTGACTTAAAAGCTAACACTACTCACTCAGCTCCATATTTAACACCTTCAGGCCACTTTAACCTTTTTACAC